CGGCCGTTTGCCACCCTCGTGACAAAAGGGGGTAGGACCCAATATGTGAGATTGAGGCTGACATTGGGGAATTTGGGAGAGGGAGAGAGAGATAATCGAGAGAAAGAGAAAGAGAGAGAGAGAGAGATTCAGAGAGCAGGGAAGTGAGTGAGGAGACAATGAGGGGAGTGGGAGAGGAAAGGGATGAAGGGGGAAGATAAGGGGGAAGATAAGGAGGCGGAGGGGGAGGAGAACGGAGAGGTAGATGAGGACGAATGCAAATAATTCAACTAATGTGAGAGACAGCGAGTTGTAGATGATTGAGCCGAAACAGAGGACACCCTTGCAGCAGAAAAACCCGAAACAGCTTCACACAGTCACACGGAGGGGGGGAGGGGGGCACGATGGTGGCTCGCGATGGGGGGTCAAGATGAGCCACCGAGTCTGGGGGCCATGAACCCCTCACCAGGCGAATCAGAGTGAGGGGGCCGAACTGTCTTACATTATCATTGGGTGCGTCAAGCAGACAGTCTCACCATTGATCCACGGTCTTGCACCATCACACTGTCTTACCCCATTTCTGTTGTTGGGCTCTCATTTCTAAAGAACAATGACTGTTGATCCTCCGTTCTGGTTGCATATCGATTTTTCAGTTGGACTGCCACCCTTGGGGCTCGTACCCTATTCTTGAAAAGGGAACAAGTTGCGCGCCAGGCTTGGTTGTTGGCCCCCGAACTACAACTGCAACAGCTCCCGCCTGATACTTCCTGACAACTAATTCACAATCGCGCTCTCGCGCGGGACATCTTTACAGCTTGCCTAGGAACTGCGTTCTCGCGTGTGGCATCCCAGCGATGTATTCAAACGCCGTGCCCTCGACACTCAGGAATCACGTTCTCGCTTTGGACGTTCTCGCGATTTACGTGGGAATCGCACAGTCTCTAAAGGCTTCCTGACGATTCGTGCAGGACTCACGCTTTAGGGACCGCAGTCGCTTCTCGCTGCCCTTTGCCCGTTGTCGATGCCCCTCGCTGCTCTTCGTGGTTTCGCAGTCTCCTTTCGCAGCTCCGTCGCTGCCCTCATGGCCTCCTCGATGTCCTTCGTGTCCCCCCGGCCCACACTCCTTTCCTTCTCGCTCTCTCGTTTGTTTTCCCGTGCCCCTCCTCGTGTTTAGTAGCTACGCCTACACGGGGCAGGTAAGGACGATATTCCCCCAAGGTGTGCACGATCGAAGGCGAAGAGGGTTGGTATCGAGGGTTTGGGCTATCTATATAGGCTGACTGGCACGCGAACAGATAAGAGCGACCTGACAACTATTGTGGCTGGCTTCTGATTTCTAAAGAATGCTTCTTGTCGATTTCCCCCTCGTCCCAGTGTGTTTTTCACTTGAAGTGCCCCTCCCGGGGCTCGCACCTTGTTTATTACAGAGGAATATCTTAGGTTCCATGATGTGTTGTGGCCCGCCGAGCTACCACAATAGCGGTTCCCGCCTTCTACTTCTTTCCCCACAATTCATACCCAGACGCATTCTCGCGTGGGGCATCCTCGCAATGTATATTGTCGCGCTATCGTTCGAGACTTCTTCGCGACTCACGCGAACTGACGCTTCAGCGGCCCGTCCGCCTGCCCCGCCCGTCTGGGCCCGCCCGCCCGACCCGCCCGATATGTGTGGTACGCCCGCTGGACCCGCCCGTCTGGTTCTGCCGCTTGATCTCCTGCGCCAAGTCCCGCTCCTGTTAACCTGTTGATGTCTCCGTTGTGCTCCATCCTTCTCCCTCCCCAGTCATCCCTTCCCTCCTCCGTTCTCTCCATCCTTCTCCCTCCCTATTGTCCCTTCCATCCCTCCCTTCCCTGCATTCTTCGCCCTCCCCCCTTGCCCCTTCCCTCCCTTCCTTTTCCTGTGTCAGGAGCTGCGTGAACTACACGTGACAGGTAAGGAAGATCTACCTCAGAGGAGGGTACGACCGAAGACAGAGAGGTCGGGTATCGGTGTTTTGGGATCTGCATGGATGTACATGAAGGGTGACGCGCGCGCAGGCAGGAGCGAACAGACTTGACACGATTAGTGCTGTTGTTGTCGTCGTCCTCGCCCGCGGCCCGCCCGCGTCCAACCCGCGACCCGCCCGCGACCCACCCGAAACCCACCCGCGACCCAACCCCCGTCCTCCCACAACCTACCCGTGGCCCATCCACGATGCTCTGATGCAAAAAGTCAGCGCCTGCGGCGGGCTCGTGGTGCCATGTCCAGTAAACTCGGCGCCCGCAGCGGGTTTCTTCGAATCTGCTTTTTAGACTGCCCCTACAGCTTTGCAGACTGCCGACGATCCTTCCCCACGCCCCCCCTCTCCTTCGCAACTCCGGGAGCTATGGCACACGGCTCTCGCACACACGGAGTTCAGCGAACAATTGCGTAAACATAAGTTGGCGAACGGACAACACGCACCCATACCCAAAAGGGGGTCGTTGGGAAGAGGACTGGTTATGGGTATGTGTGCGGGTTGTCGGACCTTGGGGAACGCTCCCGTTCGAGCGGGGACCCCCATCCGACAATACGCACCCATAGCCCTCTCCGACCTCTCTATGGGTATGGGTGTGTGTGTTGTTGGTTCGTCACGGTGTTCAGCGAACAAGTGCATAAACATGAGTAAGCTTCCCGAGGTCGGTGCGCCTGCCACAGGGGGCTTTAGGCGCCGATCCAAGACATCTGCGATGAGATTCCCCTAACTGCGCACGGTCCGTTCGCGGCCCCGGCGGCCCCGTTCCCGCCCGTCACCGCCGCCCCGTTGCCCCCCCCATCTAGTATTGCAATCGCATTGCGTTGCAGTCTTATTGCGTTGCCTTGCGAGCGCATTGCGCTGCTCTGCACAGCTTTGCGTTGCGTTGCTCTGCGTCGCATGGCGTTGCATCGCATTGCAATTTTGCAATCGTTTTGCATTGCACTGCATCGCAATCGCGTGGCAATGCTCTGCATTGCTCTGCATTGGTTTGCACTGCTTTGCATCGCATAGTTTGGCATGTCGGTGCGTTGCAGTGTGTTGCGTTGCAGGGCTTTGCATGGCCCTCCATTTCTCAGCATTGCGTTGCATTGCGTTGTATTGTTTTGCTGTTCATTGCAATCGCATTGCGTTGCATTGCTTTGCATTGGCTCGCATTGCTTTGTTGCCTTACATTGGTTTGCCTTGCTTTGCATTGCTGTGCCTCGCGTTACCCCACATTGGTTGCACGTTGAATGCACCAAATTTGCATTGCATCGATTGCAAGGGATCACTGTATGTGATCCGCGCTAGCTATCATTCGATTATCTGGCGCGTAACTGTCGTTATCAATTGCTCCACCAAGTGTTACCGCCCCCCCGCCGTAACGACCGTTGCCCGAAATAAAAAGCAATCTCCATGGGGTGCCCGAGCCGATCCAAGAGATCTGCGCGGACTTCCGAAAGTTTATGATGATGCAGATATTTCTCAGGAGAAAGTAAATTAGCCCAAGCAGCCCGCAAGAATTGCTAACTTGGAGGAGCAGTGGCCTCTTGAAGGCCTCTTGAGGCCATGTAGGGCATCCCGAAGGGCCCTTGCAGACGACGTTTGAGCCACCTGGGGACTTTTATGTCCCCTTGCGGGGCCCTCTGGGGCCATCTCGGGGCCATTTCGGAGCCTCAGAGGCCCCTCGGAAACCAAACAGGCGAGCCTGCGAAGCTCATAAAACCACTGGAGGGTTCCAGCTATTCTAGCCTTGTGGGTTTGGGAGACTCGCGGGCCTCCGCCAAAGTCACCTTGGAGCCACGCTGGAGGCCATTGGAGCCAGCTTTGGCCGTCCTGCAGATGTCTTGGAGGCAACCTTAGGCTACCTGGGGCCCTCTCGGTGCCACCTGCGTGCGATGCAGAAGTGTCGAAGCCGCCGCCCAAGGCTCATGCAGCCTCGGGAAGCATGTAGCTGCCTGTCCTGGACCTCAGAGCTTGCCCTGGGCCAGCTTCCTTCCCCCTGGCATCGCTCGGACGTGTGCATTTTTCCCTCGGCTAGGACCATCGAGGAACATCCTCGATCATTTCGCGAAAAAACGCGCACGAAACCATTAAAAAAAACACATAGAATGGGCGTCCGAGCGATGGCCAGTCCCAGACATGCGATGCCTTGACTTGCTCCGTGCGCGGACCCCCCGGACCCTTCTCCCGGGGCCGGCGTGTCCTCCCGAGCTGTTCTGTCGACGGGCCCCCGGAGCCCGGCGAGGGCCCCTTGGCGGCCCCAAGACGGCCAACAACTTCCAGGCGTGGTTCTGCACCACGCGAGCATATTCGGGGAACGGCCAAGACATTCTCGCGTCCTCCTCCTCCTCCTCCTCCTCCGCTTCTCCCCTGGGGGGCGGGCGTTTCCTTCTCCCCGCGGCCGTTGTTCGCGACGCGAGGATGTCTGGGCCGCTTCTTTAGGCACGAGCTTGCCCATCGCAGGCCGGCTCGTGCGGTGTTCCCCGTTTGCCTGGCGACCTTTTGATTCGCAGAGCGGTCGGGGCCGAGTCGGTGGAAAAGCTTTGAGGTCGCGCTCGATGCTCTCCTCCAGGCAACAAGTGTCTGGGCCGCCGTGCCTCCCAGGAGCCCACGCAGGCGGCGACAGCTGCGCAGTTCGCAGCCCCCCAGGGGGCAGCGCAGGAGCAGCGCAGGAGGAGGCAGGAGGAGGGGGGAGGAGGCGTGCGACCGCAGTGCTCTGTTCAAACGAGAACCCTCCGTAATTATCGTTGAACCGATCCCCATCCCCACCCCCGTCTCCACCATCCCGCCACCCCAGCTGGGGATGTGCGCTTCGAAGCTCGAAGGGAACAGCCCACATCCCCATCAAGGGAGGCAAATCGGCCAGTGGTGCCCAGGCCACGCCCGATGGGGATAGGGATCGGTTCAACGATGCTCAAACCCCAACGCAGGCGGGTCCGACCGAAATGCCCGGGCCGCCTCTCTGACGGCCCCGGGGCCTCCCGGGGAGCCCGCGCGCGGCGCGCCGCGGTCGCCCTGCCCTCGGTGCGCGCCGCGCCGGAGGCCTCGGCGACGCCCGGGCGCTGGAGCAGCGCCTCCTCGCGGGCGCGCGCGCGCGCCGCCCTGACACGCTGGTCGTTGAGAGCAGGCACTGTGGAGTCCCGGGTCTGAATGTACTTAAAAGCGCCTGCCTACTTCGAGAATGGATCTGCTGTTGCTGCTGTGGTCTGTCATTCTCTGGGAGGGCCCGAGCCCGATCTGCTTGATCCGCCTTACTGCTTCATGTGTGTTGTTGCCGACTTCTTCTCACCGACGTGCACCAGTGTGAAACATATCCCTATCCTTCTGTTCGGCATGGCCTTGCCTCGGTGCCAATCTTAAGGATTCCCTCAGCTTCTGAGGATGAGTTTGTGGCTGGTTACGCTCCCGCGCGCGGTGCCAGATAGTCAGAGGTCCAGTGGGGCCAAGGCTCCGCCACAAAGCAAATACACAATGGATTGTTCGTGGGCCTCAGGGGAGGGTGGCGCTGTATGAATCGCCACTTAGAGTCAGCGATGTCATACACCGAAACCCTCCCTGAAGGTACATGCAAAGTTCGTCGGAGGGTGTCTGCGTGTGTGTGTGTGTCAATGTCTGCATGTATGTATGCATGCATACATGTATGTATGGATGCATGTATGTATGCATGCATGCATGTGTGTGTGTTTGTGTGTGCATGTGTAGTTGTGCATGTGTGTATGTGCGTATGGGTGTATGTATGTATCCTTGTATGTATGTATGCATGTATGTATGTACGTATGTACGTGCATGCGTGCGTGAGTGCGTGCGTGTGTATCTATGTATGTATGTACGTACGTACGTATGTATGTATGTATGTGCATGCTTGAGTATGTATACATGTGCATGTTTGTGTGTGTATGTATGTTTATATGTATGTATGTATGCATGCATGCATGCATGTATGTTTGTATGTATGTATGTATGTATGTATGTATGTATGTTTGCATGTATGTATGCATGCATGCATGTATGTATGTAGTGGTGTACATATGTATGTACGTACGCATACGTACGTACGCACGTATGTATGCACGCATGTATGGATGCGGGTAGGTATGCGTGCATGTACGTATGAATATATGTATGTCTGCGTATGTGTACGTATGTGTACATGAATGTATGTATGCATATATGTATGTCTGTATGGATGTACGTACGTACGTATGTATGTATGTATGTGTGTACGTTTGCATGCATGTGTGTATGTATGCATGTATGCATGTCTGTATGTGTGTATACATTCGTGCATGTACGCATGTATGGATGCATGTATGTATATGCATGTATGCATGTAGACATGCACGCATGCATATGTGTATGTATGTGTGTCGACATGTATGTACGTATGTATGTATGTATGTTTGTATACGTGTATGTATGTATGTATGTATGGATGTATGTATGTATGTATGCATGTACGTGCCCATGTCTGCATTGTATGTATGTAGGTGTGTATGTATGTATGCATGCATGCATTCATGCATGTATGCATGTGTGTATGTATGTATGTGTGTATGTATGTATGTACGTACGTACGTACGTACGTACGTACGTACGTACGTACGTACGCACGCACGCACGCACGCACGCACGCACGCACGCACGCACGCACGTGTGTATGTATGTATGTATGTATGTATGTATGTGTGTATGTATGTACG